AAAAAAAAAAAAAAAAAAAAAAAATGGATCCTCAAGTCTCCGTTTCAGGAGGCTCCAGTGTCACATAAAAATGTCCAATCATGGTGTTCTGCTCTTGTTCATGTCCTCTGTTACAGAAGCGTAGCTCATGTCTTCTGTGATGCGTAAGGTGAAGCCATCCTGTCTTTCAACCCCACACAGACACAGTGTCAACCCTCATCAGGAGATGGTGACAGTGGGGTACAGCATGGGAAGAAGGGGCTTCCCTACCTGGTTCTAGGGAACTTGTCCTCTCTCATTCCTACGACAGTGCTGCAGGAGGAAGGCATCGTGTCCTCGGTGTCCTCTTCATCCAGCAGCTCCGGAATGTCACTGTCAACCCACAGGGCAGCCCCAGTGCATAAACTGTAGAGCAGCTGACCTCTGGGAGCACACAGCACCACTGTCCAGCAAGTCGCAATCGCAGCCTCTACAGTGAAGTCCACAGGAGGAGTAGCTCTCCGTACATGACTTCTGCCTTCAGGCTTCTGCTTTCGGCCAACAGCATACTTTACAGTCCTCTTCTGTTTCCTCTTAGTAGTAACCGTGATCCACAGTTCATAATGCTTATGTTCAGTTTCCCGCCTTCAAATCCAGTGATCATTGGTGCGCTCTTTGTTTCCTGCCTGGAGTTTGACAGACAGCATTTCCCAAATTCCTTTCTTCACGCTTTTCAAGACTCCTCGTTTCAAAGGTATATACTGGAATCCATCAGAGATCTGGCGTGGGTGATGGCAAAGTACCCCAAATTTAGGGACAACTCACATGTATCCTGTTACAGGCCTGCAGGTGTGACTCAGAAGCGGGTCTTCCTGGGTTAACAGTAGGATGTTAGCAGGACGGTTCCTTGCTGGAGGCTCCAGAAGAGAAGGTGAGTCCATGTCCTTGTCGGCTTCATGCCCACAACCCAGGCCCATGACCCTTTCCTCTACCTTCAAAGCCAAAAGTGCTTGTCGAGTTTGCCCCAGACCTCATCACATGGACTTCCCTGATCTGCCTCCTGCTTCCAAAACCAAAACCATGGACACCCCTGGTTGCACTGGCCCTCCTGGAATAATCTAGTCATCTCCTCACTTTGTGGTCAGTTTGGCTGATGACCTTAATGCCACAGGGGATCTTAATTCCACTTGTCCGTGGAGTGGAACACATCACAGATTGCACGAATTATGACCTGAAGGTCTTTGTGAAGAAGGATATCGTGTTGCTCATCACAGTAGTTGACACAGTGCTCCTAGGAGAGCTGGACATGCAGTTTTCAACTCCATGACATAGCCTGAAAAGAGGTGTGATTTCCCAGGAGAAAGAAGACACGGCTTGGAATAAATGTTTACGGTGGAGGAGGAAGAGAAATCTGTGAAGAACTGGAGAAAGGAACCAAGGGGAAATTTGTAAAGTATGGTGGGGCATAGGATCAAAGCTGTGAATCCTCATCATAGACGGGGGGAAAATCGACTCTTGAGAAATAACACACAGGAAATAATATCCAAACAGCCCCCGAGGTAGTGGCTTTTAACTCTGAGCCACAGCAAAGACGCATAATATATTACTATCTGTTTTCTACATGTATGTTGTATAAAACATTCTATCTTCCTGTAACAAACACATATCTATCAGTTCATACTGTGTTGGAAACACATCTAAAATCTTGTTCCATAAATGGAATATCTGATTGAGAAGAGCTATTAAAAATAAGTACTTTCCACAAGTTTGTGGCTGGATGCATACAATTTAAACACCCCCCTCAAAAAAATCACCTTTGTAGTTTCATTCAGATTAATGCAGTTCATTCTTGCAAAAATTCTGACTTCACAGATGAATAATCAGTCCTGCTCAATTCTCAAACAAGTCTTCGTCTCGTCAAAAAACAGGTTAGATGTACCTTGGATTACCCACTCTAATGGAGTGTAGGAGAGAAAGGTCATTTTTGTTTTTCTCTATTAGCATTTTGTTTTTGCTCCCCTTCACTAAGTTACTAGAACATCTAGGTAAGTTGACAATGCCCCTTTAACATGCAGTACATAGGAAAGAATATAT